GAGCAAGGAGGGGTGGTGGGGAACCCCATAAAATGGAGGATTGGGGCTGCTTTGTGCAAAACCATTGCACAGAGCAAATATAACATATTTCTTATAAAAAAAATATGTTTACAATCACTTAAAATCATATACAATGGTTCACCCCATGGAGAAACTATCCACTTGTCTTCTCAGTGCTCCCCTACTGCTTCTTCCTCCATCACAAACTACACACTGCTCCCAGGTATTGGAGAGCATATAACCTCCACCCCTGATGCAATGTTTGTGTCTCTACAGACAGTGATATTGTCAAGCTTCTAAATTTGTGACATCTGTAATGGCTGTTATGAAGGAAGGAACTGTAGGGGAGTCCTTAGAAGGTCAGAGGGAAGAGGGGGGCTAGCAAGAATCACTTTGCCCTAAGTGTAGTAGAATGAAAGAGAGTAGGCTGTAGCAGGAAAGGAGGCTACGTTGTAGCAAACTATAGCTCTGCACAACAGCCTGTCTTATCCACTTAAAAATAGTGAGCCTGGAATTAGGTACTTCTGCAATAACAAAAAGGGGTTCCATGTTCCTAAAAGAAGCAGTGGCTGAGAGGTAAAGCCTGACAGCCCTCGTAACATCCAGACAATGGAGAGAGATCTCCTTAAGCTGGCCATAGACGATTTGAAAATCGATCATTCTGTCAATCAAAAACCAAAAATGGTGCGTACAATTGGGCCATCATTTGTTTTGTTTTTCTAATGAAGAAAAAAATACAGCATGTTGGACCAGGCACTTTTGATTGCATCACAAAAATCACTTGTTGCAGCTCGCACACTAATGATGCGAAAAACAAACGATCTGACATTAACAAGAATTTTCATTTGGTTTTCAACTCGTCTATGGCTTGCTTTAGAGTTAACTGGTGCTGGACACAACAAGGTTAACACAATATCCTCATTAAGGTGAAAAACAGAGACCACCTTAAGCAAAAGAGTCCTTGGTCTCAAACAACCTTTTCTTTGTGAAAAATCAAGCATTGATTGCTTATAAACCCTGCTGGCTGAAGTTATAGCCACAAGAAATGATACCTTGCTGGATTGTAACATCAAGGAAATGTTACAAAAAAGGTTTAAAAGGATATCTTTAGAACACTGACATAACTAGATATACATTTCACAATTGGAGTGGAGGCCTAACAGTGGGAACATAACCCTTTGTATAATGTACAATTATGTGAATGATTAGCAAGAGGATGTTGGAAAAGCCCAGACAATGCAGAAACCTGGCTTTTTCTGGTGCTACGGGTCGGTGTTGTTTAACCGCTCATTGCAGGGAAGAACATGGCCCACCAAAAGACACATGGAGAAGACCCCCACAGACTCACATTAATGAAAATATATCTTCCACTTTCAAAGATAAATCTTGCGGTAAGAAGATACCAAGCTTTTAACATGGTCAGGATTACAGAATCCAAAACCCCCTGATGATTGATGTAGGCCAAAGCTGTGATATTGGGCACAAGTCATTAAGCAGTATCTTACCACATCCGAGTATGCGGTAGGATACCGCACAGCATTAAAAAAATGTTTGTATTCACTAAAAAAAATGCTACTAAAATACTGCATGAGTTATTTTATCAAGTCATGCGGTATTTTAGTGAAACCCATACGTTAATGTTTCTGTTGTTAGCGGGGCTCACCACTGACAGCTGAATGTAAAAGAAAGAATTACCAGCAATTACAGAAATAATTAAAAAAATGGCGTGGGGTCCACCGAGATCCATACCAGACCCTTATCCGAGCATACAGCCCAGCAGGTCAGGAAAGGGGGGATGAGCAAGCGCCCCCACCTCCTGAACCATATCAGGCCACATGCCCTCAACAAGGGAGGGGGTGTTTGGGTCAGGGGGGGCTCCCCCCAAAGTACCTTGTCCCCATGTTGATGGGGACAAGGGCCTCTTCCCCATGACCCTGGCTGGTGGTTGTGGGGATCTGCGGGCAGAGAGCTTATTGGAACCTGGAAGCCCCTTTAGCAAGGGGGCCCCCAGAGCCCGCCCCCCCCATGTGAATGAGTATGTGGTGCCCATTCAGAAAATAAACTGTAGTGTGAAAAAAGACAGGAGACAATCTTTGACAAGTCCTTTATTAAAAGAAGAAAATTTTAAAAAAATGTCCCCCGAAGTAGATCCAACGTCAATCACAATGCCCGGTGCCGCCAACCCGAAAAAAAAAACAAAAATGCTCTACTCCTGACGCTGGCACGTGCTGCCTGACAGCTCTGCTGGCCTGACAGTTCTGAAATAAGTAAGGTGACATGATCGACCCAGCATGCCTCTTTTTTCAGGTCGGCGGCGGCGAGCATCGTGATTGACATTGGATCTACTTCGGGGGACATTCTTTTATTTTTCTTCTTTTAATAAAGGACTTGTCAGATTATCTCCTGTCTTTTTTTACACTACACTTTTTGTTTTTGTGAATGAGTAGTGGTACCATGTACCCCATACTCATTCACATGGGGGGGCTGAGATCTGGGGACCCCCTTGTTAAAGAGGCTTCTAGATTCTGATATTCCCCCCACCCTCAGACCCCCACAACCACTGGCCAGGGTTATCGGGAAGAGGCCCTTGTCCCTATCAACATGGGGATAAGGGTGCTTTGAAGCAGGGAGCTTCCCCTGCCTCAGAGCACCCCCCATGTTGAGGGGATGTGGCCTGGTATGGTTGCATCCTTGGATAAGGGTCTGGTATGGATTTTGGGGGGGACCTCAAGCCATTTTTTTTTTTAATTGCCAGCAATTCTTTTTTTTTACATTAAGCTGTCAGTGGGGAACTCTGCTGATAGCTGATGACTCATAGGTTGTTAAGGAATCCGCGGCCACCCATTCCTTAACAGTCTATGACAGTATTGACAGATACCACACATATCGTACATACGGAATGCCTGGACCACTACTTAATTACTGCACGCATTTAATAATTTATTTCCTTTTGTGAATTGACTTTAAGGTCTTTTTATGTGGTATTTAACAAGCGTTTTTGCTATTTTCTGAAATACCGCATACTAACAATAGTGAATTGATATTTTCAGTATCCCATGTGATATATGGTCATGTGACTGACTTAACTTACCGCATACTAACAATAGTGAATTGATATTTTCAGTATCCCATGTGATATATGGTCATGTGACTGACTTAACTCATGCAATAACACCCCATTGCCTGAATTTAGACTAGATAATCAGTTAGAAGTACCAATAAACTAACAACAGGTGAAATGCTTGTTACTCCAGATTGTTGATAAGTGATAATTCTACCTGAGACCAGCAATCCTGAACAGACAGGCAACCCACAACTCAACCCAAAAGGGGAAGTTCCGTTTTAAGGACTGCTCCCCTGCTCCGCATTAAGGATTGGCACCTTTGGGGAGCAGGGGGGAGCGGGTACCCGAATTTGACAGGTACCCGCTCCCACTTACGGTCCTATTGCCTAGACTATCGGAAGGTGTCCTCCCTCCATTCCTCCCTGTAGTCTTTTGGGACATGTGACAGGTTCCAGAAGACTACAGGACCATTCATGAAGTGCAGCGCTACTCGCCCATGCGCAGTGGGTACCTGGCTGTGAAGCCGCAAGCTATCACAGCCGGGTGCCCACACTGAAGATGCCAGCCTCCTGGAATACAGGACGGCCGGTGAAACGAGCTGCAGGGGACACACTGGGACCGAGGGACAGGTAAGTGGCTGTTTTTGCAGCTACAGTTTTTCAGTTTTTGTAGCTGCTGACTTTTATTTTTTGATAGGTCGAGTGGAGCTTTAACTCAGAAGACTACCATTGTAAGACGAGAAAAAAATGTTTCCCCTTCAATAATGTCACGGACAGATGCCTCCATGACAGAAACATCTTGATTGCGTAATAAAAGGGGAACGATAGAGAAAATGAATAATATAACCCCCTAAACCAAAACATAAGCATAACCCTTAGGCAAACCATACACTGATATGGCGTATTCTGATCATCAAAAGTTTCCAGCATGTCCCCTTCGTCAGAAGTCAATCAAGCACTGTACAGTAGAGACAGCTACACAGTGATCAAAATCGGGTCCGGTCACTGCTGAACAGGACCAGGGACGGACTGACAACTCATGGGGCCCCCGGGCAATAGGGGATCATGGGGCCCCTGTGTCCTTGCCCAAACTCAAAAAAGCCTATGAAAAAGGTACCAGGGGCATCTCATGGGGCCCCCTACTGACCCCGGGCCCTCGGACAGTGCCCGAGTTTCCAAATGGTCAGTCCGCCCCTGAACAGGACGAATTTCTATTAGTGAAGAGCCAACAACCCTTAACATTAAACCCCTAAAACTAACCTAGCCTAATTTTTGGGGCTTTATTTCTTAGAGAATAGGTGTCCGAACTCATGCCCCGCAACAGGCAATCAACACCCGGATATCACAGAGGGTGCAATCTACCATGCGATGCCCCCCCTCCTATCTATGACCGCACTGCACCCCAGGCACCTGCATATCACTTGTCCCCATCCTGCATTCAGTAACTCAGGAGATCATACCTGTGGGAGCAACTAGGAGAAAATTTGTCGCTTGTAAACACAGAAGTTGGACTTCTGTATTTACAAGTAATAGTGGTGAGCAGAGAGCAAAGGGCCTGAGCTAGAGGTGGTGGAACTGAGTTCCACCAAGTTCCAGGTGATAAAAGTCCCCAATCCCTAATACCCTGAATTAACTTGTACTTCCCTTTTCCGGTGCCTGAAGTCTTTTTTTTTTTCCTAAAATGACTGGATTTATTTCACATTACTTGAAGTGGGAGGGAAACGGTTAAAAATGTATTTCTGTGTACAGCAAATTGTATTGTAATTGTATTTTGCATTGACCGACCATAAAATATATTGGTTTTCCTCCACACAAAATAAGCTGTTTTTCTTTTTTTTCTGATGTATTGTTTTTTGAGGTAGTAGCTTTTAACTCTAAAACCAGTACGTGAAAGACATAATAGTGACCTGTTTCTGATGTGCTGACTTTACTGGCAGGCTGTGTGGTTTTGAACCTTTCTATGATGAACGTGGGGACCAGTACATGTTCAAGAGAATTCTAAACTGTGATTATGACTTTGTCTCCCCCTGGTGGGACGATGTATCTCTGAATGCCAAGGACTTGGTGAGTAAACTCTGAGCACGGTGTACCTGCTTTGTGAATTTTATTGCAGAACATCGCTGTGAATAAATTGTTTGTTTGACATGTTACAAGACATTTAAAGAAAATATATACACTGGCATCACAAGCTCTTACCTGAAGAATGTGTAAACCCAACATTTCCTATTCCTGATATGTGCCTGCTGTATCATGTTCTTGTATGAAAAAGTATCCTGTTCTCTTTGTATTGCTTCCTTTGTGTGAAACCCTTTGTGTTCCTGCCAGTCTCTCTGCTGTTAAAAAAAACTGACCACACTAGGCAGGAGAGCTTAGTATAATCAGTTTTTTGGCTGTGCTGGGATCTCAGCCTGCTCTCCTCCATATGGAATACATAAATGTTTTGTATGTAAGAGCAAACCGCACAAATCCCCAATCAACTGAAGTCACAAAACTGCAAATGTTTAAGAGGATATCGTCTCTTAAAAGGCTAATTCAAATGGATACTGCGCTAGGTGAACCCTTAAAACTTTATGAGCACTATGGAAACCTTCACACCTCTGAAAAATGATCAAAATTTTAAAATAAAACACTGTAATAGTTAAACGAAATAAGTGCATACATATGCCCTATGAAGACCCTCACCCCTCTGAAGGGTGATCAAAATTTGAAAAAAAATTGATTGAATAAACTGAGTGAGTACAGTAATCATAAATATGTGTAAGAAACCATGATATGTGGTCAGATTAACCTAAAATATCATGCATTATCTATGAGCCCTATGAAGACCCTCACACCTCTGAAGAGTGATCGAGGTTGAGGATAGGTTAAATCTCAAATCTCAATGTGCAAAAAATTCAACTCAAATATACATAAAGGTTAGTAGAAAAATTTCAAAAACAAAAAAAAAAAAACAATAACAAAAAGTCCATATAGACATAAACCATAGTCCATAAGTATGAGAAGAAAATTCCACAATCGATGGTATTATTGTAGGCAATGCTGTAAGTGCAAATGTAGATAAACTTGCTTCAACTGGTCACTAGAGTGCACACCACCACCAAAGTAATGAATGGAGGCTTACCAGAGATGGAGCCCCCTTAATTGCAGGGGGTCCCAACCAGCTTTATAATGTAGAGCACTGGCAAGCTTCCCATATCATGCCCCAAAACATGGAACTTCCCGGACTCCAACTGGAATGTAAACTCAAAGTGTAGTTCCAGACAAGGTCATGAAAGAAAAAACATGCCTCTCATAGTGCAATATGTATAAAACAAATTCTTTATTTGCGCAAATAGGATCCTACTTACAAGCTGTAGAACAATTAAAAGCATTCACATGAACCATATCCAAGATGGCCAACAGCGCAATAACGTCAGAGGGAGGCTCTGCCCAACATGTTTCGTCATCAAAAGACGTCCTTTAGGGGCTACCCTAGAGGACATAAATGTTTTGCCTTTATTTTCTATTTCTGAACTGAATGTTTGCTTTAGCTGAGGGATTTGATATACTTTAAAGATACCCTGAATTTGTAGTTGTAAATATAATAGTGCTTTATACTGTACGTTGGCCATTATATTTGTAAACACATTTAGGTTTTTAGCTACATGGAAAGTACTGTACATGGAAGTACTAAAGAACACTCATATCTTTTGCGTGTTGTATTTGTTCATTACAGGTGAAAAAGTTGATTGTGTTTGACCCAAAGAAGCGTCTCACCACTCACCAAGCATTGCAGCACCCCTGGGTCACAGGAAAAGCTGCAAACTTTGCTCACATGGACAATGCACAAAAGAAACTGCAGGAGTTTAATGCAAGACGCAAACTGAAGGTATAACTAAATATACGATCAATAAATGCCATGGGCTCGGGGCCACTAGTGTTGTTTCAGTAAATAGAGGGGAACCTTGGCTCTTTATGAAGATGGAAACCCCTTTTAAATTGCTTGTCCATGACAGCAATTGCAATTGCTAGCTAAAATATTTTGTGTGTAGTTACATCACTGACCTGCATTAGTCATTTTAACTACATATTTAGCAAAATCATTATAGCAGGTTTCTAAATACATACAGTAAATGATTGCTGAACATTTGTGCTGTATGTTTGCTTTTTCTGTTTATTATTATTTTTATACAGGATTGATATAGCGCCAACAGTTTACGCAGCGCTTTACAACATAAAGGCAGACAGTACAATTACAATACAAATGAACAGAGGAGGATTCAGAGGGCTCTGCTGGTTAGAGCTTATTGCAAGGGGGGCAGAAAGGTTACTTGTCGATATGCTACAAGCTGTCAGGAATAGGCATGGAAACCTCTGTAGTTTATGTTATGCTCGTCCTACTGTACATCACTAATAGAGAAAAGCAATTTCCACTTTTCAAAAATATTACAAACAGATAATTCTATAGGCAAAGGTAATATTTATTATATAAATCCCTCTTTAATTCCACTTTATGTTTTCTCTACATTTCCATACGGACTAAGCTGTTTGGCAAAAGCTCCAGTGACGAGCTGACAAACTAAAACACCAGTAGGGTAGTATAGTGTACACCAGTAGGGTAGTATAGTGTACACCAGTAGGGGTAGTATAGTGTACACCCGTAGGGTAGTATAGTGTACACCAGTAGGGGTAGTATAGTGTACACCAGTAGGGGTAGTATAGTGTACACCAGTAGAGGTAGTATAGTGTACACCAGTAGGGGTAGTATAGTGTACACCAGTAGGGGTAGTATAGTGTACACCAGTAGAGGTAGTATAGTGTACACCAGTAGGGGTAGTATAGTGTACACCAGTAGGGGTAGTATAGTGTACACCAGTAGGGGTAGTATAGTGTACACCAGTAGGGGTAGTATAGTGTACACCAGTAGGGGTAGTATAGTGTAGACCAGTAGGGGTAGTATAGTGTACACCAGTAGGGGTAGTATAGTGTACACCAGTAGGGGTAGTATAGTGTACACCAGTAGGGTAGTATAGTGTACACCAGTAGGGGTAGTATAGTGTACACCAGTAGAGGTAGTATAGTGTACACCAGTAGAGGTAGTATAGTGTACACCAGTAGGGGTAGTATAGTGTACACCAGTAGGGGTATTATAGTGTACACCAGTAGGGGTAGTATAGTGTACACCAGTAGGGTAGTATAGTGTACACCAGTAGGGGTAGTATAGTGTACACCAGTAGAGTAGTATAGTGTACACCAGTAGAGGTAGTATAGTGTACACCAGTAGAGGTAGTATAGTGTACACCAGTAGGGTAGTATAGTGTACACCAGTAGGGGTAGTATAGTGTACACTAGCAGGGGTAGTATAGTGTACACCAGTAGGGGTAGTATCAGGGGCAGACTTACAACTCATGGGGCCCCCGGGCAAAAGGGGATCATGGGACCCTTGTGTCTTTGCCCACTCTCAAAGCACACCCAAAAAAGCCTATAAAAAGGTAACAGGGGCATTTTATGGGGCCCCCTACTGACCCCGGGCCCTCGGGCAGTGCCCGAGTCATCGAATGGTCAGTTCGCCCCTGGGTAGTATCGTGTATACCAGTAGGGGTAGTATAGTGTACACCTGTAGGGGTAGTATAGTGTACTCCAGTAGGGGTAGTATAGTGTACACCAGTAAGGTAGTATAGTGTACACCAGTAGGGGTAGTATAGTGTACACCAGTAGGGGTAGTATAGTGTACACCGGTAGCGGTAGTATAGTGTACACCGGTAGGGGTAGTATAGTGTACACCAGTAGGGGTAGTATAGTGTACACCAGCAGGGGTAGTATAGTGTACACCAGCAGGGGTAGTATAGTGTACACCAGTAGGGGTAGTATAGTGTACACCAGCAGGGGTAGTATAATGTACACCAGTAGGGGTAGTATAGTGTACATCAGTAGGGGTAGTATAGTGTACACCAGTAGGGTAGTATAGTGTACACCAGTAGGGGTAGTATAGTGTACACCAGTAGGGGTAGTATAGTGTACACCAGTAGGGTAGTATAGTGTACACCAGTAGGGGTAGTATAGTGTACACCAGTAGGAGTAGTATAGTGTACACCAGTAGGGGTAGTATAGTGTACACCAGTAGGGGTAGTATAGTGTACACCAGTAGGGGTAGTATAGTGTACATCAGTAGGGGTAGTATAGTGTACACCAGTAGGGGTAGTATAGTGTTTGGAGCTGCAGTTTATCAGGTTTATTTATTAAATATTTCAACAGAATATAACAATGATGATGTCTCCATTATACATCTAAACATAGGCATAACCCTAAAGCTGGCCATAGACTGATATGACCCATGCTGATTGAAAAAAATGTTCCATACATATGCATACCTGTACGTTACCCTTTTGTTTATAGGTTGGTAAAACAAGAAACAAAAAAAAGTATTACCATTACCTTCTGAAATAAATTATACTTAGCCCAACTCCATGTCAATAATCTTTTTTTGCGTATTGTTTTACTTACAGTGCTTTTAAAAAAGGGGCGCCTCTCTCTCTCTTTCTCCCCCCTCATACAGACAGGTGCCCCTCTAGGAAGGGTACCTGTAGGCACATGCCTACACTGCCTATTAGGAAATCCAGCCTTGATTCTATTCCTTCCTCTCAATAGTCAGGGTTAGGGGAAGAGAGGGCGAGGGGATGGAAAGGGGCATAAACATAGGCGAGGAACTGGATCGGAGGAGGAAGGGGGAGCAGGGGCAAGACAAATAAGGTAGGATCCAGCAGATACCTAGGGTGCGCCACCAGCCAAACGGGGTCTCATGGGGTGGAGAGAAAGGACTATCAAAGGGAGAACCCCATACCAATGATTTTATATCGCAGGATTCCTAGCCTCTATGCAGGAAGACCATACTTTACCAAATGTCTTGGGGCAGTTACACCCCATATAGGTCAACCTGTACAGAGGTAGAGTTGCATTAATTATAGATTTCTATGCGGCGAGCATTGGGGGGGGGGGTCTAGTACCTTCCATTTAGTCAAGATAGTTTTCCTTGCATAGTATGCAGCATAGAAAATAATTAGTATGTGCAGTGGTGGGTAATTTATCAGTTATACGAAGCAGAAGAATCAAGGGATCAACATAAATCGTAATCCCGCCAATCACATTAATGTCAGCAACCACCATCTGCCAAAATTTCTGAAACAGCAGGCCAAACCAAACCATGTGGGTAAAATTCGATTGGTGCAATATATAATTGACAATCTCTAGTGTGTGTAATACACTCCACAAATATATTTTTAATTGGACAAAGTGATCCCTAGCTGAAATCATAAGTGGAATATATTGTTGGATGCCCTCACTCCAATCCTCATCCATTAGATTCAGTATATCTTGCTGCCAAGCCAGATTTGCCTGCCATGTCCTAGAAGAGTCTTTACATGTAAGTCTAAGATAGATGGATGACAAAGTCCTGTCGATATTACAGACTGTGAGAAGTTTTTCAACCGAGTGGGAGGTAAGGGTGATGGGATCTGGAAACTGCACACAAACTGTATGCCTAAGCTGTAGGAACCTGAAGTACATCCAAGAAGGAAGCTGAAACGGATTTTTTTTTTTTTTTTTTTTTAAAGTCCGCAAACGTGCAACTATAACGAAAAACCCGTAAGTGTTCACAAAAAAAGTGCAAGTGCAAGACACCACACGAAAAAGTGCACTTAGGGGTGTGCTTTGTCCTTCCCCCGAAGGGGATGGACCACTACCCTGATCGCCCGGTGCACGAAGCTCCTGACAGGGACAGGTTCCCATTTGGTCCTCCTGGCCAAAAGGCCTGGTGGACCACCGTTCCTTGTGTCCAGCCGAAGCCGGACACCCAGTACTTGGTCAGGGGGCTCTCCCGAAGAGAAAACCCCCTAGGGACAGGGGAGGAAGGAACCAAAAGGCCACACATCCTCCCCCTAGACTTCAGGGTAGGCCCAAGAACCCACACCCTCCATCCTGTGAGGAAAACACACACATAAGTAAAGAAAAAGTGACAAAACGTGGGAGGTGTTAAATTAAATAAATAGAAAATAAAAAAGTGGTCGTGCCAAATTGTGCACAGACCAGGCCCTGAGGCTTGTAGCAAAAATTGCCCTGGTCCTAGCCAGAAGGCCTGGTCCTAAGGGCGCTGTGCAGAAAAAGTTTGTAAACAAGTGACCATGTGCCATTTTCACACAGTGGGGTCCCACACCCAGGTGCTAGTAGAAGCGATAAGTGAAACTGATGCTTCATTTCCACAAAGGAGCACATTTACTTTAAAACAACTGGTTGTTAAAGAATAAGGCCTCCTGAGCATATGGGCGTATTAAAATACTCCTACACATGCTGGATCTTTCTGCTGGGATCTGGCAGAAAAGTGCAGCCGAAAAATGCTTGTTTTGGCATGAAAGATGCACATTTTCAGGCATATAATGTTTGAAAGTGTATGGGTGTAAACTCATTTCTGTTGTCTAGAATATTCATTCATGTACATTTGTGCATGTATGTAAATTATGCCAGAAAGCACCTTCCAAATTGCAAGTTTGGGGAATTTTTTATGCTCCTAAACGTTGCTCTAAAATACAAATCTAGCCACCATGATGTGCATGGACACACTGGATAAAACTGAGCTAAAATCAAAAAGCAGCATTTTTTTCTGCCTGTGTGAATGAGGCATAAACCAAGTCATTGTTCTGTGTGGGCATCAGGAACAGGTTTCATTCTTAAAGGGTAAGTTCACCTTTCTAAAAAAAAAAAATAAATGCACTTTTTTTTGCAGGTAAAAAAAAATATGCATTCACTATTTTTTTAGGAGCTGTGCATTTATTTATTTTTTTTCTTAGGAGCAGTGCATTTACATTTTTTTTTTTTTGCAGGAGCCTGGAAGATATTGCACCCACGATCAGCAGATCATGGGTGAGATGCAGGTCTTCTGCAGACTGCCAATGCATCTCTCTGCCCATACCTCGTACAGGCAGGCGGTTACATACTGACAGGAAGACTTTGAACTACCTAGAGCACTCACTAGTGCCTTGGTAGTTCAATGAGAACTACAAGCTGACAGCTGCAAAGGCAGACAGCAGAGCTCTGTGAATGAATAATGCCATCGTGGGCAGAGCCCCGTATGGCCACATTCTTTTCAAATTGTGACAGCGGGTGCGGGGAGAAGATCCCAGGCTCACTGTCACAATGTGGGGGTGATCAGCGGCTGCAGGAGTGGGAATATGGTACATATTCCACCCTAAAAATGGGTAGAACATGTTTCCAAAGATGAACTTATCCTTTTAAAATTAAAACTATGTGAATAAAATATGGCCATGGCCACCCTTGGCAGTGTTAGAATTTGTCCCAAACCTTTTGCTCGCTTTCTTGCTGGACAACTTGATCTGCCTGGAAATGTGGAGATAAATATAATGGAAGGCACATAATAAAAATTAGGAGTTTATATACAGAATACTGATATAGGCTCTTTTTATAATATACAAGCATCATAATACAATATTTGGGAAATAGTCCTATAAAACCAATGATAACCAGCAATAGACTTCCTACACGGCAGTTAATGCGGACCAAGTGCAGTACCTGTGGACCAATCTTGCACTGACACTTGCCAGACTTCAGCAGCTCTTGGTCTGAGTAACTTGTCTGTAGGAGCAAAACGGATGAATTGAACTTCAACATCAAAGAAATCACATTTATTTTAAAATGACACAGGCGGTGCAAAGCAGACACTTTAATAAGCTCTTGTGTATATTGAGCCATGTAGCTTTATACATTGCTTCAGGGGATGCTTGGCAGATGCATGCACTCATGTTCATACCTGTGCTATATGAGGCTTTAAGGCCTATGTTCTTATTGGACATCCTTGTTTCATTTTCTCCTGGCACTATATGACAAAAAGTAGGCCTGAGCTAACCTGCTTGTTGAAGGCATTGCGTAGAGTGCTAGCACACAGGCCCAGTACCACACCAGAGGCACTAGTATAGAAGCTTAACTTGCAAGATACAAAGCCAAATATCAGCTAGATATTGATGCTCACTGGGTGCTAAACAGTGTGCTTTATAACACTGCATGCAACACTTTGCATTGCACTTGGTGATGTAAGACTTGGATGCAGCTGCTCGGCCATGGAAACCCATTCCATGAAGTTCTCTACGCACTGTTGTTGTGCTAATCTGAAGGCCACACGAAGTTTGGAGGTCTTTAGCTATTGACTCTGCAGACAGTTGGTGACTTTTGCGCACTGTGCGCTTCAGTATGTGCAGACGCTGCTCTGTCATTTTATGTATTCTTTACATTACTTTTCTTTATATTCTTGTTCCCAGTTGCTTCCACTTTGTTATAATACCACTAACAGTAGATCGTGGAATATTTAGTAGCCAGGAAATTTCACGGATGGACTTGCAAAGGTGACAACCTATCATGGTATCAAGCTTGAATTCACTGAGCTCCTGAGACCGACCCATTCTTTCACAAATGTTTGTAGAAGCAGTCTGCATGCCTAGGTGCTTGATTTTATACACCTGTGGCCATGGATGTGATTGGAACACCAAAATCCAATGATTTGGAGGGGTGTCCCAATACTTTTAGCAATATAGTGTATATACAGTGTATATTACAACTTATACATGGAAGTATGGTTTCTAAAAACTATATATCCCAACTCCCTCTAAAATATTTAATTTCTTTTACATAGAGTAGGGAAGGGTAATTGTCTCTGCTGAGGAGATTTCCCCTTACTCCTTGTCAGGAGAGGATGTAATGGGAAATCTCTCCAATGGGAACACCTAGTAGATTGCGGAAAAGCCTATCTGTTTGGTAAGTGAAAAACAAATCTGTTGATCCTGCCAGAAATATTGTAAACTCTTAACTTCTTGTGATTTTTGCTTCTTCTGCACTGTTATCAGTTGCATTGTTCCCAGCAATCTCTGTGGATTACTGACAACCTCTCCTCTATGCTGAGAAGATGAGGCAAGAGCTTTCTGTAGTCCCAGCATACTGTCCTAAGGTGCTGCTCCTTCATAGGGACAGTACACTGAGTGAACATTGTCGCCATATACCGGAAGTGTGTTACTGGCAGGATCACCAGGTGAAAATAAAGCTAATAAAACCTGAAAAAAAAAACAATAATGCAGCCACCGTATCAAAGAACTGGTAAACTGCAGTATATTTTACTTTTTGTAGGAGGGGGTCTTTGGTTTAGATATACTTTAACATACATTAGTAGGATAATTTATGATCAGCAGATGGCAATCATATGTATAGCTAAAAACTACCTTTAAAAAGACAACTGATGTACTCAAATGCTCATGTAGATCAAACTTTTGAACTTGTTTTACAGGCAGCCGTTAAAGCTGTAGTAGCTTCAACTCGTTTAGGAAGTGCAGGCAGCCACAGCAGCCACGACAGCAATAAGGCAAGCCGAAACCCATCACCCGTTCAAGAGAGCGGCCATGAAGAAAGGACAACAACAGAATCCAAACAGGAGGAAGAAGGAGCCTCTTGAGTCCGCCACCTCCATGTTTGGGTCTGGGTCTCTGCCATTTCATGCACCAGCTACATCAATCTTTTTCTTACAGGAAAGATTCCTTAGCATGGCCTTCTGGCAGTTCTTTTCATGGGGTGCAATGAAATGCACAAGTTGGTTCTACTCTGTTCAATGCATGTGACTGCTTATCAAAATAGTTACTCTGGGGGCGACCTGAGACATGGAAGGTGTAGTGCTCTTTCTACACAAGAAGTATGACGTGAGCAAATATTCAATTATAACCTTGATATGCATATAGTATCTACACTCTAGCTAGAGAATGAAGTGAGTAGTCTTTCATTTTACAATTTTATAAAAGTAATGGACTTCATAGAGGATATTCTACTAGTAGGATTTTCATTTCATATTATATCATGTTGATGGTATGAACAATAATGTTTAAAACTTATGTTTTACGTTACAGGGCCATTTGACATAAACCTTAATTTGGCTTACATAACAAAAGCTATTAATACCACACATACAAGACACATATTCCAATCCTTTATAATCTTAAAGAATTTCAAAACCCTTCCCAGATTCAACCAAATCCCAGGCACACAAATACTGTTCCAAATAACAGGTTTCTCATATTTTGGGATACATATTCATTCTGGCCAATTGTCTGATCCCTCTCTGCTCAATCTTTACACTGCCAGTAAAATGGCAAATACTTTCAGAGGGTTTGTAATGACTTTGAGTGCTCATTCACACCATAGTGCAGAGACCTCAATTTTTCTGCACGTGTTCTGCAAGGTCACAACAAAATCAATTGTTATCTATGTGCCCTGTTCACACCACAACACTGGTATTACTCACATGCCGCCCAGCCACTGTATAAATACAGCGGCAGGGCGGCACGGCTGGGCAAAAGCACGTTTTTTAAAACGTTTGTTTTGTAAACAGGTAGGGGGCACACGCAACGCGCGCCGCCGCCCTACCTGTCCCGCCGATCACAGCTGCAGATGTCAGTCGCCGGTTCACAGCCGGTCGTTACCGGCTATGTCCCGGCGATTGGCGGCAATCACTGACAGAGAGCACAGCTGCAGTAGCTGTGCTTTCTGTCAGTTCCCTGACAGCTCCAGGACACGCTGATCAGGACAGAAGAGTTTCTGTCTCCCAATCAGTGGTGTTCCCTGCAGTACACACCCCCACCCCCCCAGTAAAACACTCCCCTCACACAGTTAACCCTTTCCCTGAATAATAAATTTAACCCCTTCCTCCCCAGTGCCATTAGTACAGTGTCAGTGTTTTTTTTTTTGCACTGATCACTGTATTGGTGTCACTGGGGATGTCAGTGACCCCAAGTCAGTACCCCCCAATGTCAGAATGTCCGCCGCAGTCCCGCAGTCACGCCATAAGTCGCTGATTGCCGCCATAAGTCACTGATCGCCGCCATAAGTCGATGATCGCCACCATTATTAGTATAAAAAAAAACTAAAAATCCCAGTATCTTTCTCGCCATTTGTAAACGCTATAACTTTCACGTAAAAAAGTTAATTTACACGCATTGGGTTTTTTTTTTAGCAAAGACATGTCGCAGAATGCATTTTGGCAGAAATTTATGACTAAATTTGATTTTTAAATTTTTTTTTACTGGACATGTTTTATAGCAAAAAGTCCAAAATATTGTTTTTTTTCCTCAAAATTGTCAGCCTTTTTTTTTATAGTGCAAAAAATAAAAACCGCACAGGCGATCAAATACCACCGAAAGAAAGCTCAATTTGTGGGAAAAAAAAGGATGTAAATGTCATTTATGTACCGTATTGCATGACCACGCAATTGTCCGTTAAACTAGCACAGCGCTGTATAGCAAAAAAAATGGCATAAATTGCAGTATCTATACCATAGTTTGTAGACGCTATAACTTTCACACAAAGCAATCAATATACACTTATTGGGATTTTTTTTACCAAAAACATGTAGCAGAATACATTTTGGCCTAAATTTATAACCAACTTTGAGTTTATTATATATTTTTTATAGCTGAAAGTAAAAAATATTGTTTTTCTTCAAAATTTTTGGCCTTTTTTTTTGTTTATAGCGTGAAAAATAAAAAGCACACAGGTGATCAAATACCACCGAAAGAAAGCTCTATTTGTGTGAAAAAAATGACGTAAATTTAGTTTGGGTGCAGCATTGCATGACTGCGCAATTATCAGTTGAATTAGTGCAGTGCCGAGTAGCAAAAAGAGGCCTAATCATTAAGGGGGGTAAATCCTCTGGAGGTCAAGTACATGCAGTTTTTTTCTGCCCAGCAATCTGCAATGTATAAACTGATGTTTCTGCGAGTAAAATCTGTGCGTCAGTTTCCATCAGTTTTTCTGCACGTATGGTGTGAACGAGGCCTAAAGGTTGTTTTCCTCTGTTTGAAAATACTTCCATGTACATTATATACTTTCATTGATATGTACTACCAGTATGGGATTAACTGACAAATTTAGAGGAGAGCTACAGTACCAGACCTGCAAGATCTTGTCACTGACCTGCACTATGGATAAAACTGGGAAGTAATGGAAAACCTTAAAGACAAACTTCAGGAAGTACAAAAAAAAATGACCCCTCCCTCTTCAATAGTTACATGCTCATCAACCTTAGGGGATGAGGATTAAGGTATAATACTTTTCTTATTCTTTCCATTGGGAGGAGCCTGCAGGAGGGAGGAATAAGGTGTTACACCTAACATGCACTGTGGGGGGATTTGCATTGCAAGGTAATTTTATTTGTAATTCCTCGAGTTAGACTTTATGTGTAACACATGATTCCACCCCCTAGTACTCTGTCCATTAAATATGTGGTTTGCATTGGAATGCAGACTTTTTTTTTCCATTCCATTGCAGGTACTGACCAGTCCTATATCTGTAGCTCTTCACTATATGTGTCAGCAAACCTTCTAGTTGCATGTAAGTATTTGCCATTTTGCTGGTAGAGACTCGCCAGAGGGCAGTGACTGACACAGTTGGCTAGCATAAATAAACACATTTTTAGCTCCTTTGATATAGGTCTTGCCATGCTCTTTATATTTATATATGTCCCAGTGCTGCAAAAAGAAAAGTTACAACTTCAACATCCCATTTTTGTGTGCCCTCATTAATGCTGACGTGCAGCTAAAATTATTTTCAGTTCTAAAGCTTTAATGATTACCAGTTATCAAGTATGTGCCACATCATGCAGGCAGCTGAATTCTGGAGAAATCTTCTCTGCAGCGATGCCCGGTCTTCTTCCTGTCTCTGAGCTTCTGGCGCTGCAATGGTTTAAAAACTTCAGGTCTCCAGGCTGAACTCTATAGATTTAGCTCCCTCAGGGGACTCACTCCCTCCTCCTACATTGAGATAAGTTCCTTATATCAAGACTATTATATTTATGGCTTTCCAGAATACATAGCGCTATTAACATCAATACTGTTCCCCCATATGGCTTACAATCAAATGTCCCTACCACACTTTAGTGCAAATTAACCTTTGGAGTGAAATTAACCTATCAGTAGACATGGGTAGACAGGACAAAGAGCTGCAAGAGAAGAGTGACAGTATTCTATGGGCCCCAGCTGCAGTATTATTACTGGACAGAGGTCAGCTGATTGAAAACATCATACCCCTTTATACCACTATAATTCTTAGAAATAACAGGAATTATCTTACTGAAGCATTTGGGGGGATACTCGAATGTATACACCGCTCTTCTGTTCACCCATTGCCTTAATGCTTACAATCCCAATGTTTGGCTGTGCATAGAAGTAGTTGGTACCCTAGACAGTCTATGCTGCAGAGACAGGGGAGGCTGGGAAAAGAAGTGGGCAATGGGTGAACAGCTTGGAAAGCCAAGATTTTACTATAACTTCTCTAGTGAAGGATGTTACAGAGGTTTATTACCTCTTCATATTCTCCATCAGATCACTTCCTAGTCTATTTCTGATAAGACACAGCATATTTTCTTTAACCACTGAATGTTATTAATGGCATTTTTATATAAACCCAATGGTAGTTTATGTCTGCTGGCCCTTTAGATTCTTGATTAGAAATGTTTTAAAGAAACAATATATGCATTAAAATATATCTAAAGCCCAAACTTTGTTTCTAATTTTGGGTAGAGTAGGAGGGAGTTAGGACTGCTGTCATTTTTTTCTTTTTTTTTTCTGCCAACAGTGTCTCATTAGGAAGATTTCCCTTCTCTTCCTGTCCTGTAGATTCAGCAGTAAGTGGGAGGATTTCTTTGCAAAGTGAAGGTGATCCCCTCTTAGTTGTTATAGGAACAAGTGTCCCCATTGAAACATGTCCCATTTTTAATGCTGCCTTTGTTTCCTGCAACTCGAAATGTTGCATTTTTCCTCACTTTTATTTCCAGTGGCCAGAGATAAACTTGGGCGTCTTCTGAACCCTTCTGCAGTTTGAACGCCAATTTTTTTTGTGCTCCAGTGGGCTATGGGTTGACTAATGCTTCACCCTGCATGGGAGGATGCCTGAGCTCATCTCTATCTGTGACACTGGTGATCAGGACAATTAGGGCTCAATTACATATGTGGCTGGGGGGCCTTAAAATGTGGTTTTACCACCCCCCAACCACTCCCCGTTAAGCTGCAAAGGCAGAAGATGGGTGTACAGATGCTGCACACGCAATGCCCAACTTCATGGCAAGAATTACCCCCCTGTCACTGCTCCCAAATGCAACCCTTCCAACTGAATCATAACCACCCCTCTATGCATGCAGTTGAGGAACAATGGTGCAGGCTTTTAGGGGTTAAAATAGGCAGTGAAAAGCCAACATAATACCTCCTCATTGCCTGAGTGGACCACTATTTAGAAAGCAAACGCTTTAGTAAATGAGCACTTAGAGAGCACTTATGTTCCTAATAGGGACACAAACAGCAATAAAAATCTGACAGTAGTTCTAATATCTCAAGACTCTATCAAAATCTAAAAAAAAATGTTGGTGCTTAGTTATAGTTTAATATAAAACATTCCACTGACACAGCATGAATG